GGTAGTCAAGGCTAAAGTAGGGTGGAACATCCCAAGGTCGGGAGGCAACTCGTGGGAGGTCTTCGCTGGAACGATCGAGGGCGACGACGCTCCATGAGAGGGCCACTTCACCAGACCAGGCCAGAACGGAGGCGATCGAGGGGAGGGGAGGCGGTCGAGGAAAGGAGCCGGGGGGGGAGTACACCCTGCGAAATGCTTTAGAAATCATGGGTTAAGAAATTCATAGTCTCAGAATTTGAACAAAAACTCAAAATGTCTATTCAAATCTTAGGATTCACATTGAAACATTAAGAATAATCGAGACTCTGGCCGAAAACTTGGATTTTCTTAAGCATCGCCTAGAGTGTAGAAGACGGCATGGGTCGGCGACGCCCCCAGGGGGGGACAGGCAGAGGGCGCGGGCCTGCGCACGAGGCTCCGAGGGCCTCCCTGGCCTCCTGAGAAGCTCCCTGCGCCTTCTCGGGCACGCGAGGGCCCCCCGGGAGGCCCGAGGGCGTCTGAGGAGCCCCGTCGATTTGTTTGTATTTTTTATTATTTTTTTTATCTTGTTTTCTTTATTTATTTTTTTTGTTTTTTTTTAAGGAGCCCCGTCGACTTCTGAGAAGGCCTGCCGCCTTCTGGGCCGTGCCTTGGGGGAGGGAGGGTCTCCTGCCTGAGGCCCGCCCCTCCCCCCACCTCTCGGCTCGGGTCGGGTCGAACGGAAGAGGGGGGGACGGCCTTGTGGGGGGAGGGGGCTTCTCGACGATGGATGCCTTCTGGCAGCTGCGCCTCGTCGACGGCCTCCTGGAGGCCCGGGTCGTCCTGAGCGGCCGCCAGGAGGCTCGAGTCATGACCCGATCGGCTCGGGTCATGAGGGGGAGGGAGGGCTTCTCGAGCGACGGGCGTAAGCATACCCACGCACTCGCGATCTGGACTCCGGGGGCTCGGGAGGGTGGCCCAGCCAGGGCGGCTGACCGGCCCCCTCCCCCCTCCCCCTGGTCACGCCCGCTGGCGCAAGGGAATGGAATAAGGAGACACCCGAAGGACTATTCTCGCTCCAGCGCGGGTTGCGCCCGAGAAGCATCCCGAAAGCCCCCCACATGCATCAGAGAGGCTCCTGACCCACCAGAGAACTTCATTGATCGTCGCAAGCTCTCCTTCTGGGGGTCGGCGGACTAGCGTAAGCCACTGGTATAGTTTCAACAACAAGAACAACAACAAGAACAACAACAATAACAACAACAACAACAACAACAACAACAACAACAACAACAACAACAACAACAACAACAACAATTACTAGCACGTGGGGACACTCCGTTCTCACCAGTGCCAGGGTTTTCATAGGAGGCGGGCAATACCCCCACTTTGTGGGGGGGCCGGTTCAAGCTCTACCAAATTTCCAAACGACTCTTCGCCACCACCCACACCCAGCTTCCCGCCCTATGACGTTCGGACACTTCACTTCGTGGCATGCGGACGACCGTGGCTACTATTCAGGGCCCCGCGGCCGACGACGACGGCGTGCGCGCGCGAAGAAAAAACGAATGTGTCCCGCATGGTATTATTTGACAGGGATGATGGCCCTGGCAGGTGCGCAACCGTTGTTGCAGAAGTTCGAAAAAGTTGCTCGCAAAAGCCCGTTTGACAGAAATGTTTAAAAAGTGTTGGGTTTCCTACGAATCCGCAAGAGCGCGCGGGATGATGACATTTTGACATTTTTGTTTGAAAAACCATTGGTTTTTTGATGTTTTTATGTTAAAATCGCTACGAAAACTAAGGTTTTGGAAGGATTTCGTCTTGCGCGCGCGAATGTCCACTTTACCTTATTTTTTGCAAGGGATTCTTGAAGTTTGGTTATGTTAGAACAAGAAATGTCCACTTTAGCTTATTTTTTGCAAGGGAAAACCGATCGTAACAACACAACCGGATCCGGACCAACCCGTTTTGCCTGAGACTTCCTCACGAAAATGATGAAAATGTGGCTGCGGCCTAGGCGCGGCGGGGGGGTCGTGCACCAGGGGTCCCAACAATAATTATTCTTTAGAAGTAATAATGTTCAACAACAACAACAACAACAACAACAACAACAACAACAACAACAACAACAGCAACAGCAACAGCAACAGCAACAGCAACAGCAACAGCAACAACAACAACAACAACAACGCCAACAACAACAACGACAGCAGCAGTATTAACAACAACAAGAAAACATAACAAAATAAAACAACATATAACACAATAACATAATAACCCAACAACAAACAAAACTGGAAAAAAAGCCTCCTCATCCTCCTCCGCCTCCTCCTCATCCGCCTCCTCCTGCTCCCTCCACTGCCTGCCCCATGTCCCGAGCCTGTGGCAGGGTCATCAGCTCGTCGTCGTCGTCGTCGTCGTCGTCGTCGTCGTCGTCGTCGTCGTCGTCGTCGTCGTCGTCGTCGTCGTCGTCGTCGTCGTTAGCTCGTCGTCGTCGTCGTCGTCGTCGTCGTCGTCGTCGTCGTCGTCGTCGTCGTCGTCGTCGTCAGCTCGTCGTCGTCGTCGTCGTCGTCGTCGTCGTCGTCGTCGTCGTCGTCCTCGTCCTTCCAGGTCGGCGGCACCAGCCGTACAGTCGGGGCCTTGACCTAAGGAACCCAAAATAAGGAACGAGGCCCCTTTTTTTCCATAAGTTAAACTTCGATTTCCGATCGAAAACATAAGGAAAGCCTGGGCAAGCTGCGAAACACGTAAGGAACGCGGAGCCCCTCCCCAACGAAAAGGGTTCCTTCTTCAGGGCCCCGCCTGTAATGCCTTCACAACAAAAATACGAGTCTCCCGAGAGGCCTTTCTGCGCTCCGGCGCGGGCGCCCCCCGCGCACGCGCGCGCGCGGCGCCCGCCGCGACGCGCCCGACCCCCCGGCCGAGGATCGGCGGCGAGCCCCTGGGGGGGGAAAGAAGGAGGGGCCGCGGGCCTCCTCGGAGGGCTCGGCCTGCCGGAGAGGGCGTCGGAAGAGGGGCGGGGGGGGAAGAAAAAAAAAGGGGCGCGGGGGAAGAAAACGGGACGGGCCTCCCGGAAAAAGGGCGCCAAGGGCCTTCTCCGAAGGCACGGGCACCCTCTCATGAACCCCGGAGGCCCTCCGAGCAGCCCCGCCCGCCCTCCGACGGGGGGCCCCGCCTCCTCGCTTCCCCCGCCCCCCCCCCCTCTCGCTCGCCGCGGAGAGGACAGGAGGCGCCGCCCGCGCAGAGCGCCCCCGCGGGGAGGGGCGCACCGCGGACACGCCGCTCCACCGCGGGGAGGACGCCAAGTCAGGGCGAGGGCCGGGAGAGGGACACAGCCGGACTGGGACGAATCGAAGGTCGAGGGCCAAGCATGGGCGGCAGGCCCCGGGGGGAGTGATGTGGGGCGGGCCTTCTCGAAAGGCTCGGCCATCCTCCGGCCTTCCGAGAAGGCTTCTGGTCCTTCTCTGGAGACACAGAAACTTTCTCGGAAGGCGCGAGTGCTTCTGAGATGTCCCGCCGCCTTCGGAGAAGGCCCGCCCGAGAGCCAAGGAGGTCCAAGCCAACCAGGGCAAGAGATAAAAAACAACATGTCCTGGCGAATGGCCCAAACATATGCAGTTGTGAATGTTGCGTTGTGGGCACCACTTTCGGTGGAGCTCCCTATGGGGCCAGGAAGCGCGTGAGTGGGGGAGACGCATGCGGCGGCGGCCACTGGGGCCTTCGGTGGAGATCCCTATGGGGGGGGCTCGAAACACTGTACTGGGTCGGGGGGGGCGCATGTGGCCGCGGCCACTGGGGCCTTCGGTGGAGCTCCCTATGCTTGCATGAGGCCACGAAACGCTGCACTGGATCGGGGGACACGCGTGCGACCGCGGCCACCGGAGCCTTCGGTGGAGACACCTGTGGGGGGCACGAAACACTTAGGTCGGGGGGGGGAGCGCATGCGGCCGCGGCCACTGGGGCCTTCGGTGGAGCTCCCTATGAGGACACGGAACGCTGTACTCGGTCGGGGACACGCGTGCGACCGCGGCCACTGGGGCCATCGGTGAAGCTCCCTATGGGCCCACGAAACGCTGTACTGTGTGGCGCGGACGCGCGCGAACGCTTCCTCTGGGGCCTTCGGTGGAGCTCCTGATGGGGTCACGAAGAGCTGTACGCGTGGCACGGACGCAAGCGAACGTTGCCTCTGGGTCCTTCGGTAGAGGCCCTGTGGGGCCACGAAGCGCTTGACTGGGCGGCGCGGACGCACGCGAACGCTCCCTCTGCGGCCTTCGGTGGAGCTCCCTATGGGGCCACGAAATGCTGTACTTGGCTGTGGAGGGGCGCATGCGAACGCTCCCTGTGGAGCCTTCGGAGGAGCTCCCTACGGGGACACGAAGCGCTGTACTGGGTGGCGCGGACGCGCGCGAACGCTTCCTCTGGGGCCTTCGGTGGAGCTCCCTACGGGGCCACGAAACGCGTGAGGGGCGTGCCGAAATTGTTGACATGCGGAGGGCAGAGGCAGGGATGGGAGGGAGGAGGGAGGAGGGAGAGGAAGAAGGAACGCGAAGCGCTGTCTCTTCAAAACGAGGACACAGCACCACAGGATGGTTGGGAAAAGTAGGAGGCCTGGTCCTCCACTCCCTCCTGGAGCCCGTCCACCTGGGCGCTGAGGGCGGCCGCCTGGTCCCCCGATACACGAGCGTCTCGGCCAACAGGCCGAACCTCGCGAGAAGAAATCAAGGATCTCTGAGACCCGACGGTTCTGGAGGATATATCGGGCGCCGCGGCCGTTCCAGAGCGCTCAGGAACGCTCTGAGAGCATTCTGGAACGCTCTGGAGCGATCTGTCCCAGCACTGGCCCCGCTCGGTGGAGCCTGGCGCTCCACGGCTTGCGCGATCCTTGGGCCGCGCCGCAGGTTGCGCCCTCCATGGATTGCGCCTTGCATAGGTTGCGCCGCAGGTTGCGCGGCCCATGGGTGGCGCCACCCACGGGCTGCGCCATGGGTTGCGCCACCCATGGGCTGCGCCATGCTCCAGGCGTTCACCTGCACGGACCCTCACCGGGCATGGCGTGGATCGGCGCACGTGCCTGCCGTCGCTGGCCGGCGCCCCCCGAGCCAGGGCGTGCCGCCGATCCTCGGTGCCGAAGTCTTCCCCGCGGGGACCCGTCTCGGCCGTCCTGGGCGGCGAAGGCGCAGTGGGCGCAGAACATCAATCGACATACGCACAAGCGTTCGGAGGTCCACGCGGCGGACTTCGGGGGTCGGCGCTGGACCCCCCCCCCCCGGCGGCGCCTCAGGGCCAGGCCCCCCTGTGGCGCTTCGCGCTCAAGGGGAGGGGGTCCGGCGCCGGCCCACGAAATCTGCGCAGGCCTCCGAAAACTTGTACTTCTGCTGTCTCTTGTTGTTCGCCAGGCCTCAGCCCCGGCGTTCTTCCTCAGACCTCCGTCCAGACACCCGTCTCGGCCTTCATCGGCGGCGCGGCACCAGCGTCGACTGCAGGGGCACCACCGGCAACATCCACGGGCAGCATCGAAGGAACGATCACGAGCACGGCTGGCACGCCTCCTGGGGCACGAGGAGCATCGATGAGGACATCAGCTTGTACTTCAGGACGAAATGCGAGAAGCGCGCAAACAGATGCCGCTCGGCCTCCGTCTCATCGAATATCTCCCTGTGGTGGTAGTACACGTGCGCGAAAATTCGGTACAAACGCCGCGCCATGGTCTGGAAGTACTCCGCACAGCCGGGCGGCACATGCGAGCGCGACGGGAAGTGCCTGACGTTGGTCAGCAGCGCCGTGGATCCATCGATCGTGTGCAGCATGTAGTCGATCGCAGCGCAGTCCTGCGGCTCCGAGTGCGCCGCGCAGCGGTACTGCCACTTGTTGGACGCCATCATCTTCGGGCAGGTCTCTGGGGTGCAGTCGTCCCCGAGCGCGACGACGAGCGCGTTGAACTCGATCACGAACTGCCGGAGGTGCTCGTACTGCCACAGCAGGGGGTCCACGTCCTCGGAGGGGAGCTCGTAGAGCCTCTTGGCGGCGCGCTCAGGAGGGTTAGGGCGAGGGGGCATCTACAGAGAAGGCCCGCGCCTACTGGGAAGCAGGGGTTCTTCGAAGAAGCCTTCTCCTATCCCCCTACCTTGGGTCGACCCAAAAGAGGGTCCAGCTGAAAAGGGGTGGTGCAATAGATTCTGGGCAATCGCACTGTCGATGTACTGCGCCGGAGAATTGCATTGCAGTGTACTGCAAGGAATGCACTGCACGCGAAGATCCAGCAATACATTTTGCGCCCCGGAATGTGCTGTACGCCCCAAGTCTGTTGCAACCCCACAAGTCTATTGCACCAAGTCTCTTGCATCACCCCCTACAGTGCGGGCACGGCCGCAAGAAACCCTCGCAAGAAACCCAACCCTGAGAACCCGTGCGCGAGGTGCACCTCAGGGGAAACCTGGAGCACCCTGAACGCAGCAGCTCCCTCCAACTGCTGCGGGAGGTCACCGCGCAGCGCGAGGAGCGAGGAAACCCAGGATACCCTGACGAAAAGCATATGGTTTCTTGATGCGCGCCCCCACTGTACCGTCGGGGCGTTGACCTCAGGAACCCAAAATAAGGAACGAGACCCCTTTTCTCCAGAAGTTAAACTTCGATTCCCCATCCCAAAACCTAAGGGAACCTGAGGCAAACTGTGAAGCAATCGAGGAACACCGAGCCCCTCCCCAACGAGAAGGGTTCCTTCTTCAGCGCCCCCACTGTGGTCGCTGACCCCCCCCCTTGGGGTCCTTTGGACGCCCTCCCCCCCCCCTCGGCGCGCGGCGGGGCCTCTCCGCATCCGAGGGGTCCCGGCGCAGCAGGTCCTGCAAAGGGGCCCCAGGACACACAAAGAAATGCACACAAGCAAAACTATTCCCCATATGTTCACACATTTTGGGGGAGTTCCGTCTTCCCCCCACGTCCCATATTTTCCCATATTTTCGGGGGATTCGACGATGAATTGTGTCTGTGTGTTTCTTCCCCTCCGGATCCTGGATGTACTCGGGTATCGCGAGGGGGCCGTGGCTCTCGCTCGGAGGCCGAGGCGACCACCTCTCGGGTCTCACGGGGACGGGGCTGGGTCGGGTGCGCGCTGCCCGCCCTCGGTCGCAGCATGCTCCAGGAGAGGCACGGGGCACGCAGGAAGAGAAAAAGGTCTGACATTTCGTTCGGACCGCGGCAAGAGCGACTCCACACGAGAGCCTTGTCAGGGGTCTCGCGAGCCATCTCAAGGGGAAAGGAAGATACAGGAAGAACGGCGGGTTGGGTCGGACATCTCCTCCAGGCGGGCTTTGGGCGAGAATCAAAAGATAGCCCCAACAAAAAACTAAGAATTTGTCAAAAGTAACCATCGGAAAATCGTCGCCAGCCTATTTTTAGACGATTTTTGAATTTTCCTCCTGTACAGGAACAGGCCCGACTTAAGGGCAGAGTCGGCAGCGAGCAGGACTGGCATTCGCCATCGTTGGGGGGGCGGCCGAGAGGGTAGGATAGCAAAGGGGAGGGTAGAGAATCAGCTCACGTGGCTGGTTTTCCTGGCGCCTCCTGGCGCCAGGAGGCGCCCATGTATCGAGGAATAGGCCCGACGGCGGGACCGAAACCAGCTGCATGCAGCAGATTTGTAACCCCCCTTTCCCTAGGCCCGACATCGCCAACACACAAGATCACAGTTCGGCCAGAATGTTCGTGTTTCGCCGCTGCCTGCCGGAAAAGAGGTGGTGGCATACTGTAGACGCAGCGTCCTGAGGGCGGCGAGTCAGACAGATGCGAATCTGCGCAGCATAGGATCCAAGAAGTGACCCGTCCAGCTATGCAAACCAATATCTGGACATGCCCGCATCATCGCGCGCTTAAGGTCTGGTTAGCTACCCTCGCCGGAACCATCCGCCTTCCCCATCTCCGGCCCTGAGCATCCTCCACACCTGAATGCCGAAAATTGCCGAAACAAACGTCTCGCCGTTTCAATGATTCTGAAGTCTGGGCACCTTCGGAGTTCAAAACATATATACATGTATGTCTATAAATATGAATGCTAAACCACACGCGTTTCGCGCGTGCTTAGGTTCTGGCCGCGCCCACGGAACTCACATCATGAATTGCAATGTCAACGTGTCAAATGCAAAGGCCATCATTGTCAAAAGTTGTTGCCTGATGCTCATCCCATACCGAGAACCATCTCGCGACCCCCGCAGAAAATACACATGCATTTATACATACATATATGTGTGTATGTATATATATATATATACATATATATATATATGTGTGTATGACCACTGGCATTTGGCCCAACCCGCCGCCGCGCTTAGTTGTAGGCTGGAGGCCTCTTCGACAAGTTGTGTGGTGTCTCGTGGGAGGCCTTTTCGGAAGTCTTTTGTCGAGTTTGGAGCCTGCATGGGAGCCTCCAGATGCTTCTGGGTGATGTTTGGGGGGCCCCTCGGGTGCTCCTGGGGGGCATCTTGGAAATCTCTCGGGGCCCTGCTGGCGGTCAGGGGGGCCGTCTTCGGGGGGCAGGGTCGATGTGTGAGTTCGGGTTCCCCCTCTTGAGCCCTTCTTGGGGCTCCCCTGTAACGCTGCTGAATTGCGCCCCAGGGGACCGTTTTGAGAAGACTCGTGAAACTCTCTCTGAAGACCGAGAGTTCCGGATGGAAAGCGCACCCGTGGGCCCCTCTTGTGGCTGTCTTCAGGCGCTCTTGGGCTGTTTTGGGCGCCTCTTGGGCCGTCTTGGGACTCTCCTGGGCCGTCTTGGGGCCCTCTTGAGGGCCTCTTGGGCTGCCTTGGGGCAATATTGGGAGCTTCTTGGGCCGTCTTCACCGCCGTGAGGGCCGAATAACCGTATATGTTTAAAATGTACGCTTCTGGAAGGGAATGGGATGATGTTGGCCTCTTGGGGCCCTTTTTGGGATGCTCTCGGAGGCCTCTTGTGCCGTCTTGGGCGGCCTCTGTGGCCGTCTTGGGGCCATCTTGGGCGTCTTGGAGCGAACGTTCGGCGATTGGGGGCCCTCTTGTGCCATCTTGGGGCAATCTTGGGCCCCTCTTGGCCCGTCTTGGAACGATGCGGGCGCTCCAAAAATCGACCCAGCGCCCAATCACCCACATTTGTGGTCGGGGGGCCAGCCCGGGGCCCACCAGACCCAGTCCCCCGCTATGTACAGCACCAGAAAAGGACAGAGGAGAGCACAAGAAAAGAAAGGAAGCCACTGAAGCCGGCATTGACCAAGCGAATTGACCTGCGGAGCACCCTGGATACAGAAGCTTCCTGGAGGTCCGCAGGGTGCAGGCGAGGGCCAGCGACCGCGGCCGGGGCGACCCAGGGCTGGCAAGAGAAGCGGATGGGGCCCTCCCTCCAGGTCCCTCCCCCTCCCTGAAGGGGAACGCCTGAGCGGGGTGAACTATCAGGCCCCATCCCCCCCTCCATCGGCGGTGGACAAACCTCCCTTTAATAAACTAAACCACCCTTTAGAGAAAACGGCCTAGGACCGAAACCGACGGACCCGCAAAAATGACGGCCGCAACGCCCTCTTACGAACCGTAAAAGGCCAATTCGCTAGTCGACGTGTCAGGGTAAGAGGTCTATCAACCTCCGACTCCAGTCGGGCACGCGCCAACATGAATTACGGATCCGTGAATCCGGCGCGTGGGCGCCAGATCCACGGATCGAGACAACACCTCTCGCAACATTCGAGTAGGAAATCTAATACAGAATTGATGTACCCCAAATTTCCCAACCCTCCTGTGGTGTTGGGTACTTTGTTTGAATAGAGCAGTGTGGTCTTCACCTCCTCTTCCTCTCCTCCTCCTCCTCTCCTCTTCTCCTCCTTCTCTCCTGTTTCCTGGGTTCCCTTCTCCCCTTCTCTCTTGCCGTCTGCGATCTGCGCAACTGTCGCCACTTTTGTGGGCTCCTGGGAGGCCCAGCGGAGGTGGGTCCCACGCGGACCACATCGGGACCTCGCCGCCCCATGGGGGGCTTGCGATCTGCGCAACTGTAGCCACTTTCGTGGGCTCCTGGGAGGCCCAGCGGAGGTACGTCCCACGCGGACCACATCGGGACCTCGCCGCCCCCTGGGGGGCTTGCGATCTGCGCAACTGTCGCCACTTTCGTGGGCTCCTGGGAGGCCCAGCGGAGGTGGGTCCCACGCGGGCCACCTCGGGACCTCGCCGCTCCCTGGGGGGCTTGCGATCTGCGCAACTGTCGCCACTTTCGTGGGACTCCTGGGAGGCCCAGCGGAGGTGGGTCCCACGCGGACCACCTCGGGACCTCGCCGCCACCTGGGGGCTTGCGATCTGCGCAAGTGTCGCCACTTTCGTGGGCTCCTGGGAGGCCCAGCGGAGGTACGTCCCACGCGCGGACCACATCGGACCTCGCCGCCCCCTGGGGGGCTGCGATCTGCGCAACTGTCGCCACTTTCGTGGGCTCCTGGGAGGCCCAGCGGAGGTGGGTCCCACGCGGACCACCTCGGGACCTCGCCGCTCCCTGGAGGGCGTGCGATCTGCGCAACTGTCGCCACTTTCGTGAGCTCCTGGGAGGCCCAGCGGAGGTACGTCATACGCGAAACACCTCGGGACCTCGCCGCCCCCTGGGGGCTTGCGATCTGCGCAACTGTCGCCACTTTCGTGGGCTCCTGGGAGGCCCAGCGGAGGTACGTCATACGCGGAACACCTCGGGACCTCGCCGCCCCTTGGGGGGCTTGCGATCTGCGCAACTGTCGCCACAAAGTGTGATGTCGGACGAGCTACTTTAAGACGTGTTCTGTTCAAAATGTGGCTTTCGCTCTAGACATCCTCGAAACTAGCGAAATGGGGCTCTCGCTCTGGACATCGCTCTGTTCAAAATGGGGCTCTCGCTCTGGAGACGTCGAGGGAGCTTGCGAAGCTAGAGGGCCCAAGAGAGACTCAAGAGAGCTCCAAGACTGTTTAGTATATCGAAGACGCCTACGGCGAATCACCGCCGCCCCCTGCCCTTTCGGAAGCGCCGATGCGGCCGACTGCTGTGGCCAGAGGTCTGCCAAGCTATTGGGCCATATGTTCCCCGAATCTGTCTTTACAGCCTTCGGGGAACACGTGGGGGAGGACGGGGAGGAGAGGAGAGATAGGAAGGGGGGGAGGCCATCTTGGGGGCCATCTTGGGCGTCTTGGAGGCCTCTTGGGCCGTCTTGAGGCCCTCTTGGGGCCTTCTTGGGGGCCTCTTGGGCCGTCATGGGGCCATCTTGGAGGCCTCTTGGGTGCTGTTGGGGCGATGTTGGGGACCTCATGGGCCGTCTAGGGCCGTCGGAGAGCTGAAAAGAAGAACATGCCAAAATCCTTCAAAAACCTTAGGAAAATCAATGATTTTAACCTATTCGGGCCTTCCTGGAGGGCGTCTTGGAGGGCTCTTGGGCCGTCTTGGAGGCCTTTTGCCGGCCTTTTGGGCCGTCTTAGACCATCTTGAGGCCATCTTGGACCGTCTTGGGTGCATCTTGGAGCCATCTTACCCGTCTTGGAGGCCATCTTGGCCGTCTTGGAGGCATCTTGGAGGCCATCTTGGGCCATCTTGGCCGTCTTGGAGGCCATCTTGGGCGTCTTGGAGGCCTCTTGGGCCGTCTTGAGGCCCTCTTGGGGCCTTCTTGGGGGCCTCTTGGGCCGTCATGGGGCCATCTTGGAGGCCTCTTGGGTGCTGTTGGGGCGATGTTGGGGACCTCTTGGGCCGTCTTGGGCCGTCGGAGAGCTGAAAAGAAGAACATGCCAAAATCCTTGAAAAACCTAAGGAACATCAATGATTTTAACCTATTCGGGCCTTCCTGGAGGGCGTCTTGGAGGGCTCTTGGGCCGTCTTGGAAGCCTTTTGCGGGCCTTTTGGGCCGTCTTAGACCATCTTGAGGCCATCTTGGGCCGTCTTGGGTGCATCTTGGAGCCATCTTACCCGTCTTGGAGGCCATCTTGGCCGTCTTGGAAGCATCTTGGAGGCCATCTTGGGCCATCTTGGCCGTCTTGGAGGCCATCTTGGGCCAAGTTGGGGCAACAAAGGCATTGACAGATGGATTTTCGGAAACTTACGGGTGGCCGGCGGGACGGGCCGAAGCCCACTGGGGAGTTCTTTTAGAAAAAGAACCAAAACCAAAACCTGAAACATCCAGCACGCCGTGCACCCCTGTGGCAAGACCACAGGGGGCGGCGGATCGAAGACGCCTACGGCGAATCACCGCCGCCCCCTGCCTTTTTGGAAACGCCGATGTGGCCGAAAGTTGGACTAGAGCTTGGCCAAGCTATCGGACCATGAGTTCCCCGAGTCGGTTTGGAAAGCTTTCGGGGAACACATGGGAGAGAATGATTATGAACAGGAAGAGGAAGAGGAAGACATAGAGTAGGAGGATGAGGGTTGTTAGGAGTCTCTTGGGGCACCCTTGGGGTCTGTTGGGGGCTTCTTGGGGGCCTCTTCGAGGCCTCTTGGAGGCATCTTGGGGGCCTCCTTGGGCCTCTTGGGGGCCTTTGGGGGCTTCCTGGGGGTCTCTTGGCCGTCTTAGGGCGTTCCTGGTCCGTCTGACGCCGTCTGGAGCCGTCTTGGGGGCCTCTCTGGGCCGTCTTGGGGCCCTCTTGGGGCGCTTCAGGGCCGTCTTGGAGGCCATGTTGGGCGTCTTGGAGGCCTCTTGGGCCGTCTTGGGGCGCTCTTGGGGCCGTCTTGGGGGGCCCTTGGGCCGTCATAGGGCCTTCTTGGAGGCCTCTTGGGCGATCTTGGGGGCCTCTTGGGCCGTCGGAAGGCCGAAAAGAAGAAAACGCAAAAAACCTTCAAAAACCTAAGGAAAACCAATGATTTTGGCCTCTTCGGGCTCTCCTGGAGAACGTCTTGGAGGCCTCTTGGGCCATCTTGGAGGCATCTTGGGGCCATCTTGGCCGTCTTGGAGGGCATCTTGGGCCGTCTTGGAGGCATCTTGGAGCCATCTTACCCGTCTTGGAGGCCATCTTGGCCGTCTGGGAAGCATCTTGGAGGCCATCTTGGGCCATCTTGGCCGTCTTGGAGGCCATCTTGGGCCAAGTCCGCCGATCCGGCGTGTGAGTTTCAAGGAGTCTCAGCTACAGCCTCGAGGCTGAGCTTCAGCCTCTGGGGGGGTCGCCGGGGTGGCTCTGCCGGGGAAGGGGGGGTGGGGGGGGGGGGGGGGGTGCGAGTTTCCGGCGAACCCCGGGGCCGCTCCGGGGGAGTGGAAGATAGGGGGGGGGGGGGCGCCATGCTCCGCTTTTTCCGGCGCTTTGGAGGAGGGGGGGGGCCCAAGAGACCCCCAAGGGGTTCCAAGAGGGCCCCGAGTCGCCGAAAAATCGCTCCAAGACGCCCGAGATGGCCTCCAGACGGCCCAAGGTGTCTCCAAGACGCCCCAAGAAGCTTCCAAGAGGCCTCCCAAGAGGGCCCCAAGAGGCCAGAATCGTTGATTTTCATTGGTTTTCTCAGGGTTTTTAGCGTTCTTGCCTTTTCGGGCGTCCGACGCTCGAAGACGGCCCAAGAGGCCCCCAAGTCCGTCCCAAGACGGCCCACGATGCTTCCAACACGGCCCAAGAGAGCCCCAAGACGGCCCAAGAGGGCCCCAAGACGGCCCAAGAGGGCCTCTGGACAGCCCAAGAAGGCCCCAAGAGAGCCCCAAGAGGGGCCCAAGAGGGGGACCACGAACCGAAAGAACCGAGCTTTCCGCCCCAAGAGGCCCCCAGGAGGCCCCAAGAGACCCCCAAGGGGCCCCAAGAAGCCCACAAGAGGCCCAAAAGAGGTTCCAAGAGGCCCCAAAACAGCTCCCCAGAGGCCTCCAGACTGCCTCCGGCAGGCCCCCGGTTTCTTCCGCGGCACCGCCCAGGGCGCCACCGGCAGGATGTCCTCCGTCTCATCGTTTTCCTTCAAGTTATCGCCTCTTCCTCATTCTCCTCCTCCTCCTCTGCGACCTCACTCCTATCCCTCAACGATCGCGTCACCGAGTGCCTCTTCTTTGAAACATCCTCGCTCTTCAAACGCACATCCATACACACATGCATACATACCTACATTTAAACACATTTGCATACATAGAAAAACAATCTTCCAGACATACATACTTACATTCACACACATACACACATATTATCATACACACATACAAACATACATACAAACTAAATACATACATACGCGCACAAGCATACATACATACATACGTACCTACACACAGGCACACATGATCAATGCATGCATACATGCATGCACGCGTACATACACACACATATATCGTGAAACTCACCGCGTGCTCGAAACTTGAGAGAGACCGCGGGAAGTCGAGAGAAGCCGCGGAACGAGGCCTCTACTACTACTACCACTACTACCACAACCACTACTACTACTACTACTACCACTACTACTACTACTACTACTACTACTGCTACTACTACTACTACTACTACTACTACTAATACTACTACTAGTACTACAGGAGCGTTTCCCAACTAGTATGTGTGTGTGGGTGATGCTGTGTGCGCATGTCTGCGGCGCAGGTTAAGTGGTGTGACTGTGTGTGTGCGTTTGAGTGTGCGCCCATAATTTCTGCGTCTGGAGAATAACCCCGAGCGACCCGGATCGGCGGCACTGGCCGAAGGCCACTACAATAGGGGCAACAAAGGCATTGACAGACAGATTTTGGGAAAATTACGGGTGGCCGGCGGGACGGGCCGAAGCCCACTGGGGAGTTCTTTTAGAAAAAGAACCAAAACCAAAACCTGAAACGTCCAGCACGCCGTGCACCCCTGCAAGCAGGGGGCGGCGGATCTACTGGCCTTCGGCCCATCCCGCCACCGTGCATGGGTGGTGGGCCAGAGGCCACTGGAGTGCTCGTTGGGATCTCGTGGTTAGCGGCTTGGGTGAGTCTCCGCCCCCGTTATGCATCTCATGCATGTGCCTCTTTCAGCGCAGCGCGTTGCTGAGTTAACCCGATGTTCTGGTTTAGCCTTCGCCGCCTCCCGCGTTTGTGTTCCTTTCAACGCTCTTGTGCTTCCATGTTGTATGTTTGCTGTTCATCTTCTTGATGCTCTCTTCTGATTTCACTCATGAGTGCTCTTCTTGCGCACTGCGGGTCCTTCAGAATGCCAGTCAGCATTGAGTGGTCCTGAATATAAACGACACGTGTATAAAAAGGGTTGGGTACGTCGCAGGGTAAATTGATTTGCTCGTCGAAACGCCGAAGGAATACGTTACAGTCCAAGAACAGTTTACGTGTTCCTTTCTGGATGCGGCGAATAATCAATTTCGGGGTAAACAAATTCTACACTTGATCCCCTACTCGAAACATGAGGCCAGTCTCGCCCGATGTAGCGACGGAGCACGTCGATGCCGCACGGAAACTGGACCCGCCGCTAGCCCACGCTCCCGAATCCATGCGTGCGCTTCCTCGATCCGGGTGCCTCCCCCCCTTCGCCCTCCTCCCCCCCCCTCCTCCCCGAGGTCGCTGCGGGTCTCAGGAGGTCCCGGCGGTCGCCGGAGATCTCCTTGGCAGCTGGCAAGTCGTGTTGAGAATCGTGCAGCTACCAAGGAGAGGCGGCGACGCGAGATCGCCCCTGGGAACATGACCGGCTTCGCAGGCTGGGTACTCTCCTCTCGCTTTCGAGCTTCACTTCGGCCTTGAGAGTGCTCATCGGTTGAGTCCACAGCTGAGCACGACTTGCCTGTCCATACCACGGAGTCCAAGGAAGACTCCAGAGGCGCCCAGAGGCAAAGACAACAAAGCCTGCTCCTCCTCCTCCTCCTCCTGCTCCTCCTCCTCTTGCTGCTCGT